TCTTATTTTTTTCTCTCTCTCTCCCTAGTCATCGATATAACAGTGAAACTATTGTTGGTCGATGAAAGTACTGTATTACACGGAAGGTAGGTAGCTGTTTCCGGTAAAATGGCGTGGTTACGTAAACACCGCACACACCGGAGCGTTTCCTGCTTTTTATCCGCGGTATTGCATATTTTCGTTGTTGCGGAGGAGGAAACGGTGAATGATCGAGTGTTTTCGAAAATGAACCGCAATCAAACGGGTGAAATCGCTAACCTCGCGGAAGGAAATCCGTCCGTCGCCATCCTCGTCCACTTCCTGTATCATTGCCTTTAGCCCGAGGTGCGTTTGCGGCGCTCCTAACACCTCCATCATGCGTTTCAGCTCTGACAGATCGAGGAACCCGTCGTGACCCGCGTCGAACCTGCGAAAAATATGGTAATCCTACGTTATTAAATTGAATTAAATTAAATTACTTTCACCGATGAAGAGTGTCTTGTAATATCGAAACCTGTGGTTTTTCCACCCTGAACCCGTGAAATTTTATCAACCCTTTGCCCTCTGAGCAATTCTTCGTATGCTCGATCGGTAATTACAGTGCCCTCTTGTACAGAAACTCTTGAAAATCAAAAGATTTCTTTTAAAAAAGAATATTATAAACGATTATGAATTTATTTATTTTTCATTTCATTTATCAACCCTCTATAATTGTTTAATAATAATTACAATTTAAAAAATCAAAATATAGAAAAAAAAAATTTTTCTTCTCGCGAACGAAGAAAAGTCAGGTTACAGGGGCTTAATTTGTTTTATTCGAATATAAGTAAAGTATAAAACAAAATCAACTGGAATTTTTCTTCTCGTGGACGAAGAAAAATCAAATTATAGATGATCAATTTACTTTACTTTAATACAAGTAAAACTTGAACAGAGTTATGGCACGTATTATGAAAATCGCCAATGGAGTGCAAAGGGTTAAGATTTACCTCATTCTTTCGATAAGTCCCAAACGCTCCTGAAGTTAGAGTATCAGTACAAACTCTAGCTAACAAATGTCGACAATTTTTTTTAAACAGCCTGTATAGAGGAACGGTATAACTCCCTCGGAAAGCTATTCGCTAGCGGAGCTATCGGAATCGTTTACACGGAAAGTCGATTTCACGAGCTTCCGGCTGTCGGACAGGCCGCGAAACAACAGCCAACCCGTTGACATTACATTCTCTTTCCTCCGCTTTCGAAATCGGTACACACCACCGATTGTCGATCGTTCTCACGTTCCCCCTTTCGATATAATTGCGTTACGGGCTAATTAAAAGTAACGAGTTACGCGATTAAAACCGGGCAAACGCTTTCGTTTGCATTCATCACGGGGAGATACACTCCGAAAAATAAAGAAGAAAAAAACGCGGCCAGACGTAGCTTGGGAAGTTCAAGCGTAGAAAAAACCTTTGCCAACAGGATGTTCACGCCTGTAGAATAGTTTAGAGTTCGTTCTGATTGAAGACGTGATTCTCCCTTTAAAATCTGTTATGGGGACACGGAAACGGTCTTGTTCTACGTGATGTCCTCTTCGAAACGACGTAAAATTGATGAAAATTCGACCGAGGGATCATTTTTTACAATATTTTTTGCACGCGAGTGTATAGGAAGAAATGATGAAAATTATGAAATTGTGAGAATTTTTAAACGTGGAAAAATGCTTGGAGAAAAGGAGCAACAGTGTTCTCTCGCTTGAATCGTAATTTCACGAAAGTTAACACGATCAAATAAAAAAAAAAAAAGAAAATAGTTCACTCAATTTCCCATCCAACGTTTGCACTATTTCTTCTAAATTATTCTTATTCTTCTGTTTTATCGACCGTTAAATTTACATAAACATCCCGGGATTTTCCACGGTCCATCGATCAACGCTCGCGATTCGACAATTCCGCGATCGTAAGATACAGATCGTTCGATCGAACGTATCACGTACGAATTACCATTTATGGTTTTCAGTTGGCGGTGCTAACGGTTTTATCAGATGACGATACAAGTGAAATAATCGTTTGTCCTATTCTTTTTATCAGCAGCAATTGGACCGAGCAACAGATAAAATCTCCTCTAGATAGAAGCCCGCAGAGAGAGAGAAGGCTGTTAAACCGGGTCTAATTATCGCGATGGCAACTGGTTTTTCTCGTAAAAATCTCAACGATTGCTCGGAACGTGAATTATTGCGTAATCAGAACGTTATATACGCATAGTATGTGTAGGTGAATTAAATTTACCGTGTTTCACGGTTTCCGATTCGCGCGCCACTGTTTCCTCCCAACATTTCTCGAATCACTTTGGTTAATAATAAACGACCACGGTAATTGTACATGATTATCATTTAATTATCCAGTTCGGATGATATGTAGGAAAAACAATTTTTCCACGTTGACCCGAATAACGTGATAACAATTTTTAGTATGTCTCGAGGACTCCGCGTTCTCTCGGACAATTTAACAACGCAACGAAAAAGAATTTTTCGATTTAATTTTACGAGAAATTTCTATTCATTTCTCAACCCTTTGCGCACTTCTCATATTTTTTCACAGAATGGACCAGAAAATTCAGCACGTTTTTTCGCAGTGGAACTTTCGAAAATTAAAAGAAATACTTTTTATTCGTTTCAACACTGCACTCTGAACATTTTTCCATAGGATCGATCGATATCTCCGGTATATTTTTTTTCAGCGAAATTTATGAAAATCGAAGGTTTTTTTCTAAAGAAAAGAGATATGATATTTTATCACAGGATCTACCAGCAACTCGAAATCATTGAAAATTAAAAAAAATACTTTTCATTCGTTTCAACACTCTGCACTCTGAGCATTTTTTCACAGGACAGATCAATATCTCGAAAATACTTTTTTACAGCGAAATTTTGGGAAAATTGAAAGTTTTTCTTGGAAGAAAGCTAAATATAGATAAAAGGTGAATTTTATATTTTACAGTTCTCTAAGGTGTGATTTTACAGCTGACACGAGTCAGACTCACGCACAAGGGGTTAAAATGGAAAATGATCTAATCTGAGGACCCTATATTCGGGGACAAACAGTTGATATCGTCGGCGTAAGCACGCGGAGGCTCCTTTTCGTCGGCGTGGAGAACAAGAATTGCTGGAAGGTCGAGGTTACACGTTTATAAGCACGGTCAAAGCGGCGTTGATCGATAAGAGCGAGAGAGAACTATAGGTATATCTCCTGGTCTCGACGTATCTCCCCTCGTGTGGGTGATTCATTCGCGATTTCACAGCCAATTTGAATATTGAATTGATAAGCCTGTTCGTTTGAATTTGAACTTGAAATGACATTACCGAGTCTTTCTTCACTCGTACCCTTTCTTTTTTCAAGATTTAATGTCACACGTGAACAGTGCGTGAAATTATCCATAATCTCGTTTCATTGATAACGGACGAGAAATTTAGTCCAGTTAATTTGTAAATGCAGAGATTCTTCGGCTTTTATCCGGTGAAATTCTTGGAAAGTTAACGTAGTTATTTATGAGCTTAAATCCATTATAATATGAATAATAAAAATATTCTCTCTTTCATGAGAAAAGGAGAAAATTAAATATAATAAACTGGGGAAAGTAGGAAGAAACAGAACGTTGAAAGGTTAAAAAATTTTGACCACTGAAAAAGTAAAACTGAACAAGGAAAATAAGATTCTAAATTAAATTTAGTAAACAATAACGATGAAAGTAAGGAAAAATATTTTTCTAATATTATTTTCTAGTCGAAAGAAGAATCTTTTTTGGGTATTTTAAAAAAGTGTCCGCTGTTATAATTAAATTTCGCGATATTAATTTTCAGCTCAACGAAACATCTCATTTGGTAATTCTTCCAAGTATTATCATGTAACTCTAAAGCTTCATTATAACGTGATATTTTTCTAAGTCTTCTATCAAACGCTGTGAAATATAACTGCTCGACATATCGCAATCTTCTTCAGAGAGTAATCTGGCGACGTGTACTAAATATTCCTGGAGGAAATATTGCGCGGGGAACTTATTCAACCGAGTGAAATTTACGTGACTAAAATAGTGAATAAAACGAGACGGAGATTTCGCAGGTATACCTTTCTCAATTCAGGATTACTAGATTCATCGGACTAGATGAAACGAGCTCCGGCCCGACCTTTATTGTACACTTGACCTTTCAATCTTTCACATCTCTGCCGCTGTCATGCCGTTTACCACAGCTTCATCGGTAAATATCAATGGAAAAAAGAGGAGAAACTCTTAATTCGATTCGTTTAATTTCCAATATTTAATACCGTCAACTTGTAATAAAGTCTAAAAAAAAAAAGAAATGAACTTTGTGTTCTATTTAAAAAACTCGAGGTGATCTTGTGTTCGTTATGAAAATAATGTATTTTCGAAATGTTTATTAGTGTCGGAATTTTTTTACATTGAAAAAGATAAATTTTAGTTGATAACTATTTTTAAATGGCTGGAAAAACTATGCGACGCTTTAGAAGGAACATCCTGTATATACATAGATCCAGAGCGGAAATCGATATTGTTACCATATAAGTTAGGCGATGTAGCACAATGTTTAATAAGGTCTCGTGTGCCATATTTAGTTTTGTAATTTAAATAACAGAGAAGCATTCTTTTCCTCGTATTTCTAATAGTGTGTAAAAATGAATATTTCTTAATATTTAGAAATACGTAAAAATGAATATTTCTTAATAATTATAAATGCGTAACAATTAATATTACTTAATAAAGATGCGTAAAAATTCATATTTCGTAATAAACACGCGCAAAAATTAATATTGCTTAACAGAAATGCCTAAAAATTAATATTGCTTAATAGAAATGCCTAAAAATTAATATTCCTTAATAAAGATGCGTTAAAAATTAATATCGCTTAATAGAGGCGCCTAAAAATTAATATTTCTGAATAAAGATGCGTTAAAAATTAATGTCGCTTAATAGAGGCGCCTAAAAATTAATATTCCTTAATAAAGATGCGTTAAAAATTAATATTACTTAATAAAGACGCGTTGAAAATTAATATCGCTTAATAGAGGCGCCTAAAAATTAATATTCTTTAATAAAGATGCGTTAAAAATTAATATCGCTTAATAGAGGCGCTTAAAAATTAATATTGCTTAATAAAGATGCGTTAAAAATTAATATTACTTAATAAAGATGCGTTAAAAATTAATATCGCTTAACAGAGGCGTCTAAAAATTAATATTGCTTAATAGAGATGCCTAAAAATTAATATTCTTTAATAAAGATGCGTTGAAAATTAATATCGCTTAATAGAGGAGCCTAAAAATTAATATTCCTTAATAAAGATGCGTTAAAAATTAATATCGCTTCATAGAGAAGCCCAAAAATTAGTATTTTCTAATGAAAACGCGTAAAAATTAATATCGCTTCATAGAG